CACTTTCCACTCAGGTAACTCTCATCAAGATGGACTCTTGGAGTCAGAAGTCCTTGCTAGCAAAAAGTAAAGTTTTTGGACATATACCATGGTATTTTTTTTGTACTATGTAAATACCATACTGTATATGAATTTACTGTAGTAATCATTCATGGTACATATCAAAGATTCAATGCAAATTTTCTATGCAGATTTTTTTCACCTTGTATTTTTGTGAAAAGTGTGAAGGTAAGGTCACATTAGCAAAATTTCTGCTAAATTAAAAACAAAAAAATGAACAAATAAAAAGGTCTATTGTAAATAATATAGGGCTGAATGAAGCACAGGTCACACAGAAGTCACTTCCAAATCAATTCGCTTTTTTCTTTTAAAGCGGCAGATTCGCATGACCAACTGAAAAGCATGCAAAATCTGTGTGGGGAACTTTTTCGTCTTCACACGAAACTCACGTGTTGATTCCTTTTGAAGTGACTGGGTTTCATAGTGCAATGGTAAATGTGACAACACCTTCAGAATGCAATTGATAATGTATCACAAGAATGCGTTGAGTTCTCAGTGTTGCCACTGCTATAGCAGTCATTAATATAAACCGTCTTCTTCAATAGTCTGTTTTCTTTTTCAAGTCTGTTATTGTCATTGCGGAGAAATAATTTGAATACTGATGAAAATACCATGAATACTAAGGTTTGTCACCAAGTACAATGCAAGAGCGATCATTTTTCTGGCCTTACATTAACAGACCTGTTTTAAAGAACCCTGTGCTTTTATTGTGGCTAAAATGATCTCTCCAAACATGCACAGATAATTTCTCATCTGAGTAGACTTTTGTGTTGTTTTGATGTGTGTATGTATGTATTTGGGTGGGTTGTATTTAGAGTCATAGTTGCTATGGTAACAGTAGAGTTGGCCTTAGGCTGGTCTCATTCATAAGGAATAAAGCTAGAAGCAGTAAGAAGCCCATATGCCGCAAGAACAGCTAAAACAGTATGACATAAAATCTTTGAACTGTATCACACACCACACAGTATGACCTTTAATAGAGGGCTGCTGAAAGGTGAAGTGTGTCATTTTTGTGTCACAACATAAATGTAATAATAGCTGAGGGCAATGAAAAGGGATTTCCTAAACAAATCCTGCTGTCACAATGCTGGGGGTTTGCCCGAGTGTTGCTATGTGGTTGCAAAAGTGTTGAGTGGTGTTTCGCTTGTTGTTAGGTGGTTGCTAGGAAGTTCTGGGTGGTAATTTATTCTCAATGTTGAAATTATTTTTATAGTCACTTTTTTAACTGTTAAACGCAGTACAACAAATGTAATAATAAAAAGTTTTTTATATAAAATACTTGTATAAATTATAATTTTCTTTTCATGTTACAATAATGAGAATGAGCTTCTGAATTCAGAACTGAAGTAAAATTGACCCTAAAAATAATGTAATTAATAATAATAAAAAAAATCATAAGGGTCCTAAAAGCTTTAGTAGGGCTTTAAACTTTTTTTAAAATTATTTTTGGCTGATCTGGACACCTCTTCATGTTAAAGTGTGACAGCATTTTAACTTGCACTTGCACACGATAAAGCACACTGTAAGCACACTGTAAACACAGGTCAGATCATCCCCATATTCTGTGTTACAAAGTGAATTAGGAAGGTTACACCTGACAAGGCATGTTCCCAGGTGTGTGAAGTGGTAATTTGAGTCTTGTTGTCACCTGCATGCAGACACCCTGGTAACCCTGACTTTACTGTTTCCGTGAGCGGGTTTTCAAAGCCGGTTTGTGGATCTGGTTGTATAATATAGCAGTCAAGAACAGATAAGAATGAATTGAACTCCCTGTTGTGTCTTTTTCTCTGTCACTCTCTGTCTGTCTGTGTTTCTCTCTGTCTCTCACAGTCTGTTTTTATATTCTCAGCAGAACAGGAAACCATGTCATAGGGTAGAAGATTTAGCACTGGAGAACATGACATCATCCAGAGGGAAATGAAATGTGTGTGTGTGTGTGTGTGTGTGTGTGTGTAAGGAAAGATAGAATGTTGGATGTGGACAAAAGAACAGGAGGGCAATGAAATTCAACTTCAGTACAGTGTGATACAGTGTTGGTAGTTGCTGAATGGTGAGTCACCATCTGGTGGTGGATAACCAAGGCTGTGTGTGTGTGTGTGTAGGGACAGAATGAAGAGATTGCTGTGTATTGTGTCTTGAGTGAAAGTCATTGTGAGCATTCTGTTGTGTCATAGTGTTTCAGGGCCAGTGATGCAGCACACCAGAGGGAGGGTGGATATGAGGATCTGAAAACAGTGTAGTCAGGGAAAGTTAACGCTTTTCAAAAGAGCAAGACAAGTTCTCTCTTACAGTCAATAAAAAAAAAAAAGATGTTTGTCCATCTCTTAATGGTCTCTCTCTCTCTCTCTCTCTCCCTCCCTCATATACACACTCTAGACAGTGAGACACGCACATATTCCTGCTCCAGATCCAACTTTCCCACAGTCCGAGCAGCTGTTGTGCATGTCTGTCGTATAGGAAGTCATTTAGGGATTAGATGGTTCAGTCTACTATTGTAATTACCTTTACAGAAAATGCATAATGTAAAATAACATAAACAAGTTTTTTTTTGGAACATCAAGAGTTTCCATCACAGGAATAATACTTTTTTTTTTAATATATTTTAAATTTTAAAATGATAAATTAATAATAATTTACAAAATTACTATTTTTACTGTTTTTTAAGCAAATAAATGCAGTTTTTATGAGCATAAGATACTTCTTTCAAAATATTTGAATGGTAGTGTGTTTTATTTATTTGCTAAAGCCATTTTCCCCTCCAGAATTTAAAATTAATTTATTTTGTTGATTTTATTTATTGAAATATATTGTTTTATTAATGTTTCAAAGTTTAATTCAGTTATTACTTATTCCATTTAGTCCCTCAGTTAATATTAAAATGCATGTAAAATGTACATTTATACAAGAATGACAAAAACACCTAGTCACTTGTAGGTTATCTCTAATCATTTCTATCTTGCTAATACAGTGAAACAGTAACACTCATGTAGCTTTATCTCTTAAAGGGGTGGCATCCTCCCTCAACTCCTTTCTCACAAGGCCAAGGAAATCCCCACGTGTTTGTCAGTGTGTATGCATGCATGCCAATAGATGTTTATGTACGCACAAACTAAATCATGGAAAATGCCAGAGACGGCAAAAGAAGTGCTGTGCTGATAAAGGTTGCTTGTCATAGGACGTTTGCCCATAATGCCTTGCAAATACAAGATCACAGAGCTGTCATGATTAAATAGATTTTCAAACCCTCTTGATGTTCAGATATTAGCTCAATTCAGTGAATGGTGGTTGAGATTTCAGGATGGCTTGAGGGTGAGTAAATCATGGAGTAATTTTCATTTTTGGGTGAACTATCCCTTTAAGATTAATGTTCAGACGTTAGATTGCAGGTTATATGGCATTTGACTATATTAAAATGTTACTATATTACATTGAAAGTACACAGTTAATAAAATTCCAAATTTAGATCTCTGATTTGTGGTAGTGAGATTCTGAGGTGGGTTTGTAGCATAAATGTCACAGGTTACTGATGCATAGACTGACAGTGTGTGTTGATGTCTAACATTAGGTCATGGATGTGAGCGAGTGAGTGACTGGTCAAGGCTTAATGTAGATTTCTGCCTTAGTCTGTTATCACTCACTTCACATTATCATGATTCTCCCTACAACCAACCACAATCCATCTGAGCCTCACTGTGGACTGGACCACCTTAGGCCACCAATAAAACCTTCTAGCTTGTGGCTGACTTAGAAGAGCACATTTACTTGTCTTGAAAGTTGACTGTGCCATTTACTGTTCAAAACCATTCCTTCTGAACAACACTAAAAGAATCATATACAGAATATACACATATACATAACCCCCTTCATAGCTACATGTGATAGAACAGTCTGGTGAAGCTAAAAATATCCCATGGTGCAGCTGGGTTCGGTCCTCATGCATTACTTATGGGAGTTGACTCTTCTTTGGCTATTTTCCCTTTTTTAATGCTCAAAATGCTTTGAAAGAATGATTTGTTTAGTAGCCTGTCTCATGAATCTGTGCTGTTTACAGTCAACACTTAAGCATAAGGGCCAATCTGATTCTATGGGATTATAATAAATATTTTTCTGTTATCTCTTTTGAAATATTTCCCCTTCAGGGGATGTGTTGAAATGAGCTTGAGCTGCTCACGTATCATAACCAAAGCTCTCTCCATCCTGCATAATCCCACTAGATTACACATTCTGCTCTTTCACACTCACAAGCACGCACATGATGCAGCACTACCTCACACAAATCAACTTGGCTGTTAGAATGTAAGATTGTGATGATCTTTAAGGATTTGGATGTTTCTAAACCAGTGTTTCCAAACCTCCTCCATCAACAGCTAAAAAGTATTCCTTTGAAATCATATTTTACCAGATATTATTTAGCATTATCATTATTAATAATCTGCTACTATAATGCCAATGCGTATACCCCACTGTTCAAAAGTTCAGGGTCAATAAGTTTCTTTTGAACATTAGTGTATATATGCACAAAAATCATTAGATAATCACAGCTATTTTAATATGTTCACAATCATTTATAACTTCATTTTAAGTCATAATTTCTGCTTGACAATGCAAAATTAAAATCTTTCCCTTTTTCCTACACATACCCTTGGTTGGGTTACAAACAAAATGCGCTGATTCCAAAACATTTTGACACTTAAGCTATAAATAAATGAGCTTTTCTCATTTAAAATAAATGCAAAAGAAATTTATAAAAATTTAAAAAATATATATGTTTTTGCATTTGAACTGTATAAAAACTTTTTGGAAGGCCACTGCATGTTGAATATTACACAGAAATGAGGTGGAAAGATGTGTTTTGTCCAACCACAATCTGTCTGACTGTTTTGAAAGACATTCAGCCAAAAATGAAATTAACAGGTAATCATGCTATCTCTCTTTTTTAGGCGACATCACACAAAAAGGATACGAGAAGAAGAGGGCCAAAGTTTTAGCACCCTACTTGACACAAACACAAAGTAAGAATACAGAAATCTCCCTGCTTATGCACCTTCTTCCCTCCATCTCCTTTTCTGCCATAGTATCTCTCTCCTTGTTTTTCTCAGTTGTCCACTGACTCGTATGATAATGTGGTTATGAAACATCTTCTCAGGCTGTTCCTCTTGAGGTTGAAGGGTTCCATCTAGAGTTCCTCTGTACTGCTCTCTACTGTTCATCCATTGGACTGCAGCATGAATTGCTATTATTTTATTGACAGTCGCTGATGCGAGATATGTAGGATTTGTTAGGCTGATTTTTGTCTTTTTTCATGCTGGAGAGATTGGAGATGAAACAGCTTTTCACATCTACTTCCCATTCATATCTTCCATTTTCTGTAATCATTGACTGCGTCTGCTAGTTTGCATGAAGTTCACTCTTATTGTCTCTACAGATTTGGCTCCGCCTCCAGCCTATGATGCACAGTCTCCTGGTCCAAGCTCCGCCTCTGCACCTGAACCTGGCCCTTCGAACTCGTCCTCCTCCTCTTCTCGCCACCGGCGCACACGGCGTCCACACCGGAGCAGTGGGACTAGAGATGAACGCTACAGATCAGGTTAGAACAGCCTGACAACATACAAATGGTTTTCTGTTTCTTTTTCATTTTATCAGCCATTATAATGCGTTTTAGTTCTTCAAAGGTGATGTTTTTGCCTTTAGCGCCACTAAACAAAAGACAATTCATTTTATCAGACATTATAGAGGCTGATAAATGTTTTGCCTCTAATGGCACTAAACGGATATAGCAAAAATATCACAGCCCTTTATCTTGAAAAAAAAAAACATTCTGCTGATTTGATTTTCAGTTCAAATATAACAATATTTCCTTAAAATGGTTGTCGAAAGCAAAGAGCTACAAAATGCATCAGTATTTTTGGATTCCGCACTGCAAAATTAGTAAGAAACAAGTATTAGATTTCATTCAGCAAATATGATGTACGGCGGTGTAATGATATACAGCTCCCGGCTTACTTATAAACTTTCTTATATGGGTTACTTATAGTGATCTCTGCACATTAAAAAGTATTTCAACATAGAACAAATGACACACTTCACCTTTAAAACTTAGAACTCCAATTTGCAAGGTGTAAATGGACTGGTCTTTACCTAAGATTTATGGGGTGCGAGGTTTACAGAGTCTGCAGATGGTAATTTTGCCTGTCCTCTGACCACATCCTTGAAGGAACTGTTTAGTCATCTGCCATGGCAGTCATACTTGGACAAAATGGTTGCCTAGATGAAATGTGTCACTTTGGATTTCTGGTGCTTTATGGCAATTGAAAGATGGCAGCTTGCTTATTTGATTGTTGATTGCTTTTTCAGTTGCTCGCCACAGATGTGATTGTATATTTTACTGTCCTACTGTTGTCAGAGAGCAGTTTCAGTGAATTCAGCAAATTCAGCAAATTCACTGCATAATTTATGTTCAGGGCCTTGTTATGCAAGCATTTCCAAAACTATCGGTTAAGAAGGTTTACTGATAATACAGAAGTTACTGATTTATATCAAGGTACAGAAAAAAAGTTAATGAGATTCCAATTAGTCTTGTACTCTGGAGTAAAGCATTTAACCCCAGGATGTTCAAGGTTGACTGTACCTGTCGCTTTGGATAAAACCAAACATGCGCAGAGGTCCAAGTAAAAAAACGGTCTGTTTCCAGTTTTTTATTTTTCTTTTTGTCTCAGATATCCACACTGAGGCAGTTCAGGCAGCTCTGGCCAAGCATAAAGAGGAAAAGATGGCACTGCCCATGCCAACCAAACGTCGGTCTGCATATGTACAGTCACCAATTGACAACTGCACCCCACCAGGTAATATATGCAAGCACCAAATAAACCATTTCACTAATATATTAGAGTGCTAGAGAAGAATATCTCATGTAAATGTACAGAACCATACCATATATAGTAAGGAAGTATATCATTATATAGTTAATAGTTAGTATAGCCAGTCAAGATCTTACACTTTTCCTGTTTAAAATGGCAAAAGTACCGGTATTTCTCAGTGAAACTCTGACAGCATCAAATCTTTATCCTTATGTATTTTATATAATAATCATGCAGTGAATATTGGATCAGTTATTTAAGTTTTAACTAAATTGTTACAATTTGTATTTTGTGTGTTGTATTTTTCTAATTTGAACATTTAGTCATTTACTACTTTTAAATATTTTTTTTTTACATAAGTTACTTTTATATGTAATCATATGAATTATTTTAATTTAAGGTACTTTTTATTTTAACATGTAATTAGTTTTAATTTAATTTGTTAATATTAATATAGACTTATAATACATATAAATATTAAGGAATACAATTAAAACGAATTAAAAAGTTAAAAAGTAAATTAAAATAATTAATTATTATCATATGTATTATTGTATTATAGATAAATATATTTCTTAAAAATATATATTTATTATCTATTAATGTATTTAAGCATAACTTTTGTTTTTGCTGTGGTGTTAAATTTTGTAGAAATTTTACTGGTATTGACAGTTTGATATTGTGACAACCACATTTACTATTCTTAGGAAAAACATTATAAAAATGCCTAAATAGTTCTTACCATTATTTTTCTTATACTTATTCTATCATTCTCTTCCTTGTCTTTTAATTTATTTTCTCTTGTTCTTTCTTTCTTTCTTCTTTCTCTCTCTCTCTCTCTCTGTTAGACTCCTCCTCTTCCTCTGATGATGAGGCCGTGTCAAGTGAAAGTGCAGGGCCTCAGCAGTCTCCAGACACCTGGATTAATAGCTCTCTGCACGGCTCCTCCACCTCCTCCTCCGCCTCCTCCACTCTCTCCCATGGGGAGTCTCGGCCCACCCAGGCTCCTCAGCCTCAGTCTCAGCAGGTCCCGCCTCCACCCGCACCTGCCCACCCGCCCCACTCCCACTCCCAGCCCTCCGCCCTGGCAGAGGCCTTCGCTCAGACACGCATCGGTGAGTCACAATTACCCCACACTATTTATGCCATTGTTAATACATTTTAGATTTTTAATTTGTATCATTTGGTTTTAAGTTTTAATTTTATATGGTTACCCAGCCATTTTTGCATGTGTTTTCATTGCTTTATTATTTCTAAATTGTTTGTCTTTTATGTTTTCTTCTTCTAAATGTTTGTTTTCTTTTCATAAATTTTTTGTGTGACTGTCAGTGAGAAGAATAGGAAGAGGTAAAATTAAGTGTTAGCAGTCTTTCACCTTGCCCTGTGTGTAAAATTTGTTGTGAGTTATGAATATTATCTGCCCCTCCACATGCCCCACCTTTAAGCCTCTGCCCCACCTGTGTGTTTAAAGCCTATGAATGATTGGTCTGTCCATAGGAACTGATGAAAGATTAATAAAGGTTCTTAGAGAAGTGGGTGAACTTGTTACCTTAATACACACTTGATCTCATACTGTTTTTCCTGCAAATGACGTACCTTGAGTGTGTGTGAAATGCAGACAGTAACTGTAGACAGTCTGTAGACTGTGAGGTTAGCCTAGAAAATCTACCAATAATCAACTGTGAATGTATAGACAACATGAAACGCCATTTGCACCCTTACAAAAAACTGTTTATTTGCATCAGACCTGAAACAGAATAATCAGTAGGCTGATATTATTGGTTAATTTTATTTTTCTCTACCTACACAGCCTTAGCCCACAGAGACAGAAAGTTATTTCATTTTGGTGAAAGATTATGAAAACAGTAATGTACGATGATGATGAGACACAATAAAACCAGAGACAGTTATGTAAGAGATCATGTACAGTAGGTAAAATAAACCCTGACAGGGTGATCAATATTGTAGCGCCCTAAAGAGGTTTATTTTGGGATAATGAGCGATGGACTGTACATTATCTCACGATAAAGGCACAAATTACTCAGCTACTTAGCCAATAAATAAAAAAAAAATAACATGAAATATTGATTTGAAATTAAATTACTTTACAATTGTATCATTGTATTTTGTATTTTAATTGTTTTTTGTTTTTTTCACATTGTTGTAGCGCTTTGGGTGTGAGAAAAGCGCATTATAAATAAAATGTATTATTATTATTATTATTATTATTATGTGAGAAGAAAGAGACACTACCATTCAAAAGTTTGGGTAAAATGTTTTTGAAAGAAGTTTTTTATGTTCATCAAGGCTGCATTTATATAATCAAAAATAAAGTAAAAACCATAATGTTGTGAAATAATGTTACAATTATTGCTGTCACTCGATTCAAAAAATTTACTAATTAATCGCATTTTTTCTGAAATCTTGATTAATCGTGATTTATCACACCTAACATTAAAGTTTTTAAATATACATTTATATTGCAGTAATTTCACATTCAATCTTTAAGTTAATGTAGAAACAACATAAAGACAGTATATTTTTTAAATATTTGTTTAGTGGCATCTTTTTATGACTGAAGGCGAGTATCACTGTCACAATGTCATTCAGTTTGGACATTGTTTTCATCTTGTACCATTCCACCGATAATTGTGTCATTTTGTTCAGGTGTGTGTAGTTAATTATCCTTGTTTGGTCTGTGTATTTAAGTTCCTGTGTGTTCAGTTCTAGTTTGTCGGGTCTCGTCAACGTCAGCGTTTATGCTACCCTGTGTGTTGGATTACCATTGTTGGATTACCAGTGTGGTGGATTAAAGACTTGAACCTTCTTCTTCGTCTTCATGCGTTTGTGAGCAGCACAGCTGTGACAGAAGACCGGACCCACAAAAGTGAAAGCAAAGCGGCGTTTATTTGGCTGTTTATTTTTGGTTTGATTCAGTGTTTTTTTTGTTAATTTTTTCCCATTATGGATCACTTTCCACCTGCTTTGCCTTGAGCAGGGGAACCGCTCCCTCAAGGAGCATGTTGAGGAATTCCTCCGTCTCGCCCATCAGACCACCTGCCCGGACGACTGCCTGTGCACGTTCCTGCACACCGGACTGAACACCGCCAGATGAGCGCAGTTGTCTGGGAAGGGTCCTCGAGGGAGTTTCACCGTTTATGTGGAGTGGGTGCTGAGCTCCTGCGAATCTGCCTTCACTGTCGGCCTCGTGGATGAAGACGCCAGCCCCACTTCCAACCCAGTGCCCAGCCAGTCGCCACCCCGCTGCACGGAGAATCTGCCTGAGCCCACCGTGACTGAAGAGCCATCGCGAGAAGAAACGACTGCGCTTACCATCGCCCTGGAGCCTGAGCTGATTGATACGTCTGACCAGGTGTGTGAGCCGGTAACACTGCATGTGCCGGAGGGAATTCTCGTGGAATATGACTGGACTGATTTTCAGTTTGGAGAGTTAGAGACTTTGCTTCCCCTGAGCCTGCCTGATTCTATTCATCTGTCTGATTCGCTGATCCCGCCCAGCCTCCCTCTCCCACCTCCTCTCCAAATTTCTTTAAGAGACTTTATTTTTGATTGGATTTTGTGCTTTTCTTCATTCCCCTCAGTCCTCAACCAATCCCACTGTCCAGTCATCTTCGTCCCCCATCAGTCCCTCTATGTCACCTCCTCTCAGTGGTGGGGCTCCATCTTGGGTCTGCAGGGGGTCTTTGTCTCCTGGACCTGAGGAGCCTGTGGCTCCGACTCCGGCCTCGTATGGCTCTGCTCCTCCTTGTTCCTCCGTCCAGACTCCGGCTCCCACCCTCGATTCTGGCATGGACCATCAGCCATTTGACCTCGCCGGGCTCCCTCAGTTGGCTCCACCTGGGTCGGACTTCACCACGCCTCCGCTGCAGAGTTGCGGGTCGTCCGCTGCTCTCCGGCCCTCCACCCCTTTGGCTATGGCCTGCTCCGCCTCCTTCTTCTGTCGCTCCAGCTGTTGGCTCCTCCCTCTAGCGCAGCCGCCATGGAGTGCAGTCCTGGCTGTGCCTTGGGTCTCCACCTACCCTCTCCTGCTCAAGGCTCCTTCCTGTTCATCTCCTCCACCTGCACCTCCCTGGATTTTGTTTGTTGTCCTCCCGGTCATCCGTTGTCCTCCCGAACCTCCTGCATTTCTCTGCTGGCATGCTTGCCCACCCTTTGCCATCCCTTCATCATCTCCTCATCGCCTCATTCTTCTCTCTACGATGCGAGGTTGCACTTTCCGGGAGGGGGACGATCTGTCACAGTGTCATTCAGCTTGGACTTTGTTTTCCTCTTGCATCGTCCCCCTCATTGAGTTAATCATGTCATTTTGTTCAGGTGTGTAGTTAATTATCCTTGTTTGGTCTGTGTATTTAAGTTCCTGTGTTGAGTTCTAGTATGTCCGGTCTCGTCAATGTCTGCGTTTATGCTACCCTGTGTGGTGGATTACCCTTGTTGGATTACCAGTGTGATGGATTAAAGACTTGATAAACCTTCATCTTCGTGCGTTTGTGAGCAGCACAGCTGTCACAATCACTGATCAATTTTTTTTCTTCTAATATTTAACCATTGACTATAACCATTCAACATTACAGTATAATTTAGAGCTATCAACTTTAACATTTATTAGACTTTAAAAATAACGTTTAACCTAAAACAATTTTCAAACAAACCAATTATAATAAGTGTCATATTCACCTGTGCCCTTCAGCAAGTAGGAAATCTACAGAAATTGGATAAAGTTATCAAACACTAAATTAATTTTAATTAGTCAAGCTACAGGATCACTAAGTTCTTAAAGCTACAGGATTGTTAGGTTATTTTGGCTGCTGCCACTGCTGTACGTGATGCTAATCTGACATGCATCATATTTTCTCACAACTCTTTACCTTTTCTGACTCCCTTTTGGTGTCTCTATAATAAGCTGAGGAGTTGAGTGTGTTAGATAAGGTAGACAGTGCTGGGGTGCTCCAGGATGCATTTCAGAGACACAATCTTAAATGTGACTCATATAATAAATACATGTATGCACAGATTTAAGGCAGCTTTAATTGCCTTTTTGGTAACTTCATGATTTAACTGATGACATAACTATGACACTGCATGCTCATAGTTTCTTTTGCGCTTTAATATGAAATGCACAGCGCGTGCTGCTGCATTAGTGCATACAATTGAAGAGCACTGTATAACCGCTGACAGGACAGGAAAATTCGTTTTTACTGACATGTGGCCTGACAAAATCTCATCTGACCGCAGTTCACTGTTGTTCTACTGAAGCTCCCTCATCACCTGTACATTTTCCGCATTTGACTAGCACCTGGTGCTGAGGTGAAGTTGGAGTGCACGTCTGAAAAGTCTCCTGTTTGATGTGGTCGTAAAGACGTTCTGCGTCTAAATAAATGCAATTCTTGATAAGAAAAAATAGACAGAAGCAGCAGTTGTGAGTGGGGTGGCCAACCCTACTCTCAGATGACCTCCCCCTTCTCAAGGCCACGCACTGTCCAGGTACCGTGACAGGAAAGTGTTAATTTCTTTTTAATAAAAATCTTGGAAGTCAATGTCACTTACACAGTTTAGATGAAATTATATAGAAATATTTGAATGTTAGATAAATAAAAATGAAGTATTCTGGACGTATAATAATAAAGTAAATAGGGGCTGTTTGATTTCATGTTGTCTTTAAAACATTTTTGGGCTTATCACCAGTTTAAGCAATTCAAGGAAGCATATGCTGAAAGCAGTACTGAATGCACAGAGTTTAACAAGACGCTTAAAGGAATAGTTCACAATTGGATTGGAAAAAGTGGTACAAACATTATTCTGTTAAGTTTGCCCTTTGTTTTCCACATAAGAAAAGAAGCCTTACAGGTTTGGAGGGACAACGTAATTAGAAATTAATTTCTCATTTTGGGTCAATACTTTTAAGAGCTAGGGTATGATATCTTTAAAACTTTTAGCTGGGTTGGGTATGAGTGAGTAATATTATGTTATTTTGTACCAGATCCAGTAGGAGTCGGGCCCCCTGATATGCCATCCCATGCTCAGGCCAGAGGCTCTCGTGTGGATCTGCCTTCCAACGCTGTGGTGCGAGGCATGAGTCGAGGCCAGAGCCGGTCCAGCATGATGGAGACAGCAGACGGTACTGAGTGTGTGTGTGTGTGTGTGTGTGTGTGTGTGTGTGTGTGTGTGTGCAGGGGAAAAGAGAGTAATAGAGAGAGAGAGATAAATAAAGAAACATTTATTTGGTGTGTGTGTGTGTGTGTGTGTGTGTGTGTGTGTGTGCAGGGGAAAAGAGAGTAATAGAGAGAGAGAGAGATAAATAAAGAAACATTTATTTGTAATGTGCTACAATAGACATACATGCTCTCAAAATGTAATGTACTGTATGTCAATCTTTAAGTGCCTTTTCATAACTTTCTTTTCATGCCTCTCAGAACTTTGTGTTAACATCTCAGTAGGGGCATTTCAATAAGTCTTTATGAATGCTGTGCTTGATTGCTTCATTAATCGCATCCCGTTTCTTTTTTCTTTTCCACCTTTTATCCACTTGTGTCATGTTGCTTTTCTCTGTCAGTGAGAAGAGTTGGCAGAGGTAATGATTGGTCATAGACATGTCCTGTAGGTTGGCTTTAAAACTGTGTGTTTGTGTTTGTATACTACAGTGGGGAAAAAAAGTATTTAGTCAGCCACCAATTGTGCAAGTTCTCCCACTTAAACTGTATATATGTGTTACTCAGAGAGAATGTGAACCCAAGTGAAACCCTGCACTACCTTAGGAAAATAAATAAATAATAGTAGATCACTCATCCCTCCATCTCTGTTTACATGTGGTTTTACTCAGTCCTGATCCTTCATAACACATCAAAGCTGCTTTACATGTGAACCAGTATGATATTTAAAGGAATAGTTCAAATTCTTCCGTTATTTCTAAAATTCTTCCAAAAATTCAATTCTTCCAAAAGTCCTCATAAATGTATCATGGATTCCAAAGCCCTTTAGTATTTTTATATAGAAGAATACAAAAATATCTCAGATACTACCACTATCGCTACACTACCGTTCAAAAGATTAGGATCGGTAAAATTTATTTGAATGATTTGAAGTCTCTTATGCTCACCGAGGTTGCACTTATTTGATAAAAAGATACAGCAAAATAGAGATATTGTGAAATATTTTTACAATTTAAAATAACTTTTTTCTATTTTTATATATTTTAAAAGCATAATTTATTCCTGTGATATCGAAGATGAATTTTCAGCAGCCATTAATCCAGTCTTCATTGTCACATGATCCTTCAGAGATCATTCTAATATGCTGATTTGGTGCATATTTTGATGTAAGAAACATTTGTTATTATTATCAATGTTAAAGCTTTTTTTGGTGGAATTTCTTTGAATTTCATTTAAAATATAATTTTTTAAAGGAATAGTTAAAATTCTTCCGTTATTTCTAAAATTCTTCCAAAAATTCAATTCTTCCAAAAGTCCTCATAAATGTATCATGAATTCCAAAGCCCTTTAGTATTTTTATATAGAAGAATACAAAAATATCTCAGATACTACCACTATCGCTACACTACCGTTCAAAAGATTAGGATCGGTAAAATTTATTTGAATGATTTGAAGTCTCTTATGCTCACCGAGGTTGCACTTATTTGATAAAAAGATACAGCAAAATAGAGATATTGTGAAATATTTTTACAATTTAAAATAACTTTTTTCTATTTTTATATATTTTAAAAGCATAATTTATTCCTGTGATATCGAAGATGAATTTTCAGCAGCCATTAATCCAGTCTTCATTGTCACATGATCCTTCAGAGATCATTCTAATATGCTGATTTGGTGCATATTTTGATGTAAGAAACATTTGTTATTATTATCAATGTTAAAGCTTTTTTTGGTGGAATTTCTTTGAATTTCATTTAAAATATAATTTTTTGTATCACTGTAAAACTCTATACTCTTTACTTTAATGCGATCTTGCTGAATAAAAGTCTTAACATTTTACTGACCACAAACTTTGGAATGGTGGTGTATATATAATTTTACGTATATTGATTTTATATTTAATTTGATCTATAAGCCATTATGTATCTTGACATCTTTGGACCAGAACTGATAATACCACTGTAGGAGAGTGTAATACGTATATTATACGTTCATACATATGCTCTAGTCATGATTTACGAATTCCCAGGTCAGTTGAAAGTGTCCGTGAGTGTGTGTTTGTTCGTCTGTCTCATCCCACCCTGCCTGACCCCGTTCCTGGTGTAGGTGTTCCTGTGTCCAGTCGTGTGTCCACGAAGATTCAGCAGCTGCTTAACACGCTAAAACGCCCCAAACGCCCACCACTCAGTGAGTTCTTCATGGATGACCAAGAGGAGATCGTAGAAGGTAAATGAATGAGTTCAGAAAACATCTCTGAAAGCAAGCTGCAATAATCTGGATCAACGTGTTTCTTCCTCCACAGTTCCTCAGGCAGATCCTAACACCCCGAAGCCAGAAGGCCGGCAGATAATCCCGGTGAAGGGGGAGCCTTTGGGTGTGGTCAGTAACTGGCCTCCTGCTCTTCAGGCAGCATTAGCTCGATGGGGTGCCACACAAGGCAAAAGCCCGGCCCTCACAGCACTGGATATCACAGGAAAACCACTTTATACACTTACGTATGGTAAGACTGAGCAAGGTCACCTGCAAAACACTTATCTTGATTGAAAGCATATGCTTGGATTGGCAAGAGAGGTGCATGGGCTTTGCAACTGAGAGATTGGCGTGTAATTGACAGGGAAACTGTGGAGTCGTAGTGTAAAGCTGGCCTACACTCTCCTCAACAAGCTGGGAACCAAAAATGAGCAGATCATCAAACCAGGAGACCGGGTAAAAAATTATATAACTTAATAATAATATAATTCAAATGTTCAAAAAATTTTAAGTTATAAATTATTGTTATCAATCTATTGAATTACCTTTTATTTGTCTATTTTCAGTTTTAATTGTAGTTTTAGTAATTTTATGTGGTTTTATTATTTTAATTATGCCTAGTTTATTTCATATTTCTATTTAGCTTTATTTTTAAGTTTAGTTTTAGTACTTTAACTTCAACTTATTTTTTTTGTTAGTTGCCATAATATTAATAAATATTTAATATACATTTCTAATATTCAGATTTTATTTTATTTCAGCTTTATTTAAATCAACACATTTCTTTTTATATAGTTTTAGTTAACAATAACAACACTGATATAAACACACTCTTTTACTTAACATTGCTATACAATCCCACCAGGACTTTTTAGGAGATTTTTCTGATTCTTGCAGCTGAAAATGACTGAATCATTTTTTTTTAGATGTTTTGTAATGAAAACCAAGCAATAATCATGATGTACCGGTAATTAGTGTCAGTGACCGTAATTGTACAATTACCTGTAAATACTTTTCAAGTTTATACGAATAAACAATTATATTGTCTGTTGTGTAATATTGCTTATGCCCTTTTGCAATTTATAATGGTATTATTAGTGATTGCTAATGTTGCAATCCCCCTCTCAGGTTACTGGTTTTTGTGGGAAAATTGCGAAAATAAGAGAAAAATGCACACTGCTGCAAATAATGTGGTATTGGCTTTATTTTTGATTAAATTCTGCAATTGCAGAATTGTGAAATCCTGGAGAGACTAGCTATGAGCAGCATGCATTTTTAGAAGCAACATTTATTTTTAAAAATGCTGCCATTTCATTTAAATTATTTGTAAACAATGTCTTTTTATTGATCCAGGTGGCGTTGGTGTATCCTAACAGTGATCCTGGTATGTTTTGGGTTGCGTTTTATGGCTGTTTGTTGGCTGAAGTCATTCCTGTGCCCATAGAGGTTCCGTTATCCCGAAAGGTAGCCACACTTTTATCTATAGTATATTTTATACATAGCTTTCCAAGTCAAATGGGATGCTGACAGTTCATATTGGTAATGTGGTTGAAATCATTTCCATGTGTTTACAGGATGCTGGGAGCAGCCAGGTTGGTTTTTTGTTAGGTAGCTGCGGGGTGGGTCTGGCTTTGACTAGTGAGATCTGTTTGAAGGGTTTACCCAAGACCCCCACTGGAGAAATATTGCAGTTTAAAGGTCAGAGACTTCACACGCACAAATTACTGATCCATTTCCTTTTTAAAAGTCAGTCAGTGATGGCAATAGTATGATGGATCTAAAAATAGTTGGGTTTCTGATAGGCTGGCCCAGGTTAAAGTGGGTGGTGACGGACTCCAAATACCTCACAAAGCCTTCAAAAGACTGGCAGCCTCACATACCAACAGCCAACACAGACACGGCATATATAGAGGTAAAATCATGTGCATGTTTATGTGTTTCCGTGTGTGTATATTTGTTGAATGTAAATATCCTCCTCTCTCTTTCTCTCATGCAGTATAAGGCCAGTAAAGAGGGCACAGTGATGGGTGTTGCGGTTTCAAAAGTTGCCATGTTAACACATTGCCAGGCACTCACTCAGGCCTGTAACTACTGTGAGGGTGAGTGATGCTGTTGCTATGGAAACACCATCCTTTTGTTGCAGCCTACACTAAAGCAAAAAAAACAGCTATGTAGCTTTATGCACTGCTCATTTGGAGATGTAACAAAATACGTCTGCATGCAGGTGAAACACTGGTGAATGTTTTGGACTTTAAGAAGGACATGGGTTTGTGGCATGGAGTTCTCACGGTGAGTGACAGAAATGTGTATGTGCCATCAATGCTGTTACTACAGATTTTTTCAGAAGCAAGGGACGTTGATCTGCCTACTGCAGATGTAATAACAGATGTGATTTGAAAAACACACAAAAAAACACTAGAATCTGACTGAAACTAGTGAGATTATAATTGGATGAATTGCATATTATTGGCATAAAATTGGATGAAAGTGTGTGTGTGTGTATATATATATATATATATATATATATATGCATACATACATTTGTGTGGCTATTTTTGTTTTTTATTATTTTAAATTATTATTATATAAAATAAGATCGAGATTTTTTGCATTTACTATTAAACATCACCTCAAAAACACTTAATTTACTGTAATGTGAATACATCTCATTACTGTAAAACAATAATAAAATTGGACAATGTTTTTTAATCAAATCAGCATAAAGGCAGCACACCAGATATTACAGTGATGTACTTAAAGTTGTATGTCATTATATTGGCAGTTTTCAAGGCATTCATCCAGCATTCATATCTGTGTGTATTTCAGAGTATTATGAACCGAATCCACACCATCAGTGTTCCATATGCAGTAATGAAGGCCTGTCCACAGTCCTGGGTACAGCGAGTACACATACACAAAGGTACAAGAAACACTCGACCAAATGTATTTCTGTCGTCTACACACATTTGTTTTGATATGAAAAATGTCTGGTTCTATAGCACGGGTTGCCCTGGCTAAGTGTCGTGACCTGCATTGGGCGATGATGGCTCACAGAGAACAGAGAGACACCAGTCTGGCCTCCTTGCGCATGCTAATTGTTGCTGACGGAGCCAATCCTTGTGAGTTACACTACCAGACCTCCTGCAGAGACTCCATGGGAGAGGATGTTCATTTAATATTCATATTCAACAATTTGACTCTTTTCATCTCTCTGTATCTCCATCTCTTTCTTTTTAGGGTCAGTTTCATCATGTGATGCATTTTTAAACGTATTCCAGGCTCATGGTTTGAAGTCAGAGGTAATTTGCCCATGTGCTACATCACCCGAGGCCATGACTGTTGCCATACGGAGGTATATCATTTTTTGACAACCTGTAGGCATCCCTTTTTAAAGCACTAGTTCTTTGTTTCCTGATTATGAGATGTTTCTCCAGGCCTGGGGTCGCTGGTGCTCCTCTTCCAGCAAGAGCCGTCCTGTCCATGACTGGGCTGAGCCATGGGGTCATCAGGGTCAACACCGAAGACAAGAACTCTGCTCTCACCGTCCAGGATGTGGGACACGTCATGCCCGGAGGTGTGTGTGTGCTACTAATGATAATTGTACACACACTACCGATCAGAAGTTTGGAATGATTACGATTTTTAAAATGCTTTTGAAAGAAGTCTCTAATGCTCACCAAGGTTTTTGATAAAAATACAGTAAAACAGTACAATTTAAAATACCTGTTTTTTATTTTAATATATTTGGTTCTCACACTTCTTATTCTTATCAATGTTGAAAGCAATTTTTGCTGCTTAATATTTTTGTAGAAACTGTGATACATTACCATTCAAAAGTTTGGCCTATATAAGATAAAGAAATACTTTATTTAGCAAGGACACATTAAATTATTCAAAAGTTAGAGATATTTATTATTGAGATATTTATGTATAATTATTTTCAACTTTCTTTTCATCAAAGAATGCATTGTATGTATAATAATTTTTTCACAAAAATATTAAGCAGCAGAAAGATAATAACCATTATTAATATTTGACCACCAATAATAATTGAAAATAATTGAGCATTAAAACAGCATATTAGAATGATTTCTGAAGGATCAAGGTATTTTAAATTGTAATAATATTTCACAATATTACTGCTTTTACTGTAGTTTTGAACAAATAAATGCCTTGGTGAGCATAAGAGACGTCTTTCAAAAACATTTTTAAAAAAAATCATAATTATTTAGAACTTGTCACTGAATCTTTTGTGTGATTTGCATGTCTACGCACACAAAAAAATAATCAGGGTATTGCTGTAGGATGATAGAACATGGTAATACAATGGTATTCTCACACACATTTCCTTGAGAAACATCCAGTTCATAATACCATGCTATCAAAGTTTAAAATATGTTTGTCGTGCATACATGAAGTTAGCATGTGTGTTTATGTGTATTGTAGCATTGATGTGCATTGTGAAACCGGATGGACCGCCCATGCTCTGTAAGACGGACGAGATTGGAGAGATCGTCGTGAACTCTCGTGCTGGTGGAACCATGTACTATGGCCTGTCTGGAGTCACTAAAAACACCTTTGAGGTATGAAAATCAACCCTCAATGATGATGATGTAACTTTTTTTACTGAATTAACACACCATAAACATATTTTTATGGAATAATGCTGGGGCTTTCTCGCTGGTGCTTTTCCTCAAATCTCGCAGGTTATCCCAGTCAACGCTAGTGGCACCCCAATTGGTGAAATCCCATTTGTGCGGTCAGGATTACTGGGGTTTGTTGGACCGGTGAGTGTCTGAAAAGGAAAACAAGAGAGAGACAATGCCATTTTTATGCATTAAAATCCATTTTTCCCCTCTCTTTCTTCAATAGGGTAGTCTGATATTTGTGGTGGGTAAGAATGAGGGCTTGCTAATGGTTAGTGGTCGTCGTCACAATGCTGATGATCTGGTAGCGACTGCACTAGCTGTGGAACCAGTCAAAACTGTGTACAGAGGAAGGTCAGGGTTCCCATTTGAATAGAGAGAGAACATGTAGTCTTACAATTTATTTGAATGAGAGTAAATATGAATCAAAAATGTGTCTGTGTGTTTTGTAGGATTGCTGTATTCTCAGTGACTGTGTTCTATGATGAGAGGATAGTAATTGTAGCAGAGCAGAGGCCTGATGCCAGTGAGGAAGACAGCTTCCAGTGGATGAGTCGGGTTCTTCAGGTACAGACAAATTATAACAGTAATTGTAATATAGATAGTTTTATACTTTAAAATATGATAAAATGACATAGTACAGTAAAGCCAATGCGCTATTGACTTTATCTTTTGCTGGGAAAATCGTTTGTAGTGATTATTATTAAATATGGCTAATTATTTAATGATTATTTAATGCTTATAAATTATTTAAAGCTATTTATATTATCTAAATCTATGTTGTAATTGTTAACTAAAACAAAAATGATTACAAAGTGTTTCCTTTAATTGAAATAAAGCTGAAAAAAAATAAATAAAAATATTACATGGGAAAAAATGCCGTGGCAGCTAACTGAAATAAAATAAAGTTGAAGTACTAAAATTAATCAAACAAAAGCTGAAATAAGAAATGAATGAAAGCTAAATAGAAAAAACTAATAAAAATGTCAAAAGCACACATAATTATTTAATCTTAATGTAAAATAAAAATATAAAATGAAAAGATAATTCAAAATATTAGTAAATACTATGATAGTATATAAATAATAAATGGTCTTAGTTGGCTTTATCTGGTTATGCCAGTCAGGTTAATGCATTTAAGTTGAAAATGGTAAAATTCTGATTAATATCAGGATCTTTTTCTGCATGTTAGCAGTCAGTGGTCTACCATGGTTAAAATAAAATCACAACAGTGTCTTATTATTACTTACATAAAAGTTATTTCATTGTTAAGGTGAACACACAAATGTTTGATAATGTGTTATGTATGATTTATTTATTTATGTGTTGGTGGCTTTGTGTATTGTTTCACAACTTTAGGCAATTGACAGTATTCATCAGGTGGGATTGTATTGTCTTGCACTGGTTCCTGCAAACACCCTGCCCAAAACTCCCCTAGGGGGCATTCACATTTCAGACACCAAGCAACTCTTCCTGGAGGGGGCGCTGCACCCCTGCAACATCCTCATGTGCCCCCACACCTGCGTCACCAACATGCCCAAGCCACGTCAGAAACAACCAGGTGTGTATACAGGGGTTAAATGGAGATCTTGGAGGCGAGAGAACCCTAAAATCTGGAGGTGAAAATATCATGCATGTGATGTTTTTCTCAAAGTCTTCTGTCCTGTTTTTATTGTTTTTTATAGTTGGTGTCGGCCCTGCCTCCATCATGGTGGGTAATTTGGTTGCTGGGAAAAGAATTGCACAGGCTGCAGGCAGAGATCTGGGACTTATAGAGGACCAAGACCTGGTCAGGAAGGTAAACTCAGACTTGCATTGTATTGTAAGTCCGTATAACAGCAAGTAAATAATGCATTCAGTGTATTTTGAAGCAGTTTTTAAAAAATGCATTGCGTGGTTTTTTAATGCTTTCGTGTGGATGCAGCTGTGCATGTGGCCTACAATGATGGTAGGCACTGTGATCATTATGGCACAATCACATGCCTTTTTGGCATGACACCATTATTTAATGTTTTACTGTTGTTATATATTTGATGTTTTTGATGATGAACTGTCTGTCTTGTCTTTCTTAGCATCATTTCCTTACAGAGGCTTTACAGTGGAGAGCACAAACCGATCCTGACCATACGCTTTATGTACTTTTGAATGCAAAGGTTAAAACGACAACAACAAAAACCTTGATAAAATCCTCACTTAGAATTTCTGATTTGCTGGCCTATAATATGCTTTCTCTCTCTGTCTAGGGAGTGGCAGTATGTACAGCTACATGTGTTCAGCTTCATAAAAGAGCAGAGAAGATTGCCGCTGCTCTCATGGAGAGAAGTGGTATTAACATCGGAGAGAATGTGGTGCTTTTGTATCCACCAGGTAAATCACACATACTTTGTCCTGTTTTGGTTGTTTTTGAAAGATTGGGACAGTTAAAAAACTATATTGGAGTAAAAGTCAAGGGTTATTGCAAAAAAGTGCTCTTTCTCATGTCACATGTGAAGAGGATGTTTTGTGCCTTAAAGGCAAAGCAGCAAAAAATGTTGCTTTGATAAACTGAAATTAAAACAAATAAATATACATTAAAGCTAAATAGAAAAGAAAAAAACTAAAAGCAATAAATATTACAAACAAAATTACTAAAACTTAAAATAAAAATTTTAATAAAAACTGAAAATATAAAAAGGGTCATTCAAAATATGAATAAATTATGTAATAGTATATATATATATATATATATATATATATATATATATATATATATATATATATATATTTCTTAGAGAATCGGGGCATAGAGACTTTAAGCACTAACGAGTTTCCATGTTACATAAAATAACAATGTTAACTAACATAAACTGTCCAGTAACATGCATAGCAAGCAAGGAAAATGTCCTGCTCTACATCAGTAATTCTTTAGACATTTTTGAGTAAAATTTAAAAAAAAGGAATGCATTTTAAATAAAATTATATTACATACACAAGTGTACAGTGCACTGCAAGAGACTTCAGGAACAGAAACAGTAGGAATTTTGTTTTAATTCTTCAGACTTTACTTAGGTGGCAAGCTTAGAAATATATCCATAAGTAACATATCCATGGTTTTCCCCAGATGACTTGCCTCGCAAACGACCACCCACAATCTACAAACCGCCCAATGCTGAGATGATTGCCTATATGGACTTCAGTGTCTCAACCACAGGCATGCTGACAGGAGTGAAGGTGAGAGATTTTTCACATCATCTCAATAGATTTTTCTTAGTTATCTTAGGCAGTTTTGGTGAACCTTTAACACCAGGGTCATTGAATAACTGACCAATCAGAGATGTTTTACCTGGATGGGAATTTGTTAATTCGGCAATCAGCGGAATTGCCAGATCGGCAATCACATGTGGTTGCCGCAAGGTCGCCACCCGCTCCTTCGTCGAATCCGTCGGCTGCTCCGCTCTCTAGCCCGCCCACCTCCGCTCACTCTAGGCCACCGGCCGCCGTTCACTCTAGGGCTCCGGTCTCCACTCACTCAAGCCCGCCTGCCGCCCGTTTCTCACGCTAGCCCGCCGTGTGTGACACTGTGTGTTTCGTTGTGAAAGCGAAACTACTTTGTTTGGCCTTCCAAAAGAGGACACAACTAGAAATCAGTGGTTAAGTAGTATTTACAACACTGTTTCAGAACAGTTCAGCTCAAATATTCAGATGTATGCAGCGCATTTTATGGAGGACTGTTTCCTGAATCTGCAGAGTAGCCTACAATGTGTTTGTGCATAAAGGCTGTTTCTATAAAGTGGGGCAGTTCCAACTTTGCAAGGATAGGCTGGCGCCATTGACTCACCCTACAATTTCTAACGTGACGCGATGTGCAATGCAACGCGTAAAAAGACAGTACAAGTCATTATAATCAGTAATTATGTCCCCACTGGATGCAACAAATGCCTCGTTTGTAATGGGTTTTTATTGGTTTTGTCTCGTCTCGCCGGGACACGGCATCACAGTATGGTAGGGGCGTAAAATTTCCGTCACACGCTTGAGGGATTCGGCCAATCACAACGCACTGGATAGCTGGCCAGTCAGAGCACACCTCGCTTTTCAGACCAATGAGCTTTGTAAAAATCGACGTGTTTCAGAAATGCGGGGCATAGAGGAGCAACAATAATGTACATTATGTGGAAAATAATGTGTTTTTTTAACCTTAAACCACATAAACACATTGCATTACACCAAATACACAACATAATGTTCTTTTTAGCAACGTCATATGACCCCTTTAAAATAATAAGAATTTGGCTAATAATTTGAGAAATCTACAGTTTGATGGGAAATGATACAAGATAAGTGTTATTTACCTGGATTTTTTATTGTTCATCAAAATAGATTAGATTTCTTATCCAGTAATACACTTCTTTCTTTCCTAGATTTGGGTAAATAGTCCACACAATGCAACAGAATACTACACTATATACGGAGAGGAAAATCTGCAGGCTGACCACTTTAACACTAAGCTGAGTTTTGGAGATCCTCAAACGCTCTGGGCCAGAACTGGATACCTGGGCTTTGTCAAGAGAACTGAACTCACAGACTCCAGTGGAGGTGAGAGAGAGAAGTAAAAATGGCTGAATTAATGGCAAATTGTTCATGACAGATTGATGAGGGCGATATAGTGTTTGTGTGATGCTAAAATCTGAGTCCACATTGAAGTTTTTTTTTTATGTACACCAAAAAAAAGTTTTAGGATTTTGAAAATATTTGAACAAAGAAAGTTCTTAGAAATTCTTGGATTCTGCACTTTCACTAATAAAGAAAAAAAATATTTTTTTACATTTAGATATTGTTACTAGTGGTCTCTGACTGAAGAGACATTAATTATTATAAAGGCACATGCATTCTTGTAAAAATGTTCTTGCTTGTTAGATCGCCATGATGCCCTGTTTGTGGTGGGCTCTCTGGATGAGACTTTAGAATTGAGAGGTTTGCGATATCATCCAATTGACATCGAGACCAGCGTATCACGTGCCCATCGCAGCATTGGTGAAAGGTAAAATCCCAGCGACACGCTCTTTACTTAATTTTCAATCATGCTATCCATTATCTCTTACTTGGTCTTTCCCTCTGCAGTGCCGTGTTCACCTGGACAAATCTGCTGGTGGTGGTGGCTGAACTCTGCGGATCAGAGCAGGATGCTTTAGACCTGGTTCCGCTGGTAACCAATGTGGTTTTAGAGGAGCACCATCTGATTGTGGGTGTAGTGGTTATCGTTGACCCTGGGGTCATCCCCATAAACTCCAGAGGAGAAAAGCAGAGAATGCACTTGAGAGACTCCTTCCTGGCAGATCAGTTGGACCCCATATACGTAGCATACAACATGTGAGCTGGGTTATGGGTGAGACAAAGGCTTACTAGAAAGGTGCTATGGAGCCTGGCCTCACAACTGGGATTGGGTTCATATACAGACAGACTTGGCCTTGTTTTTTCAGGGATAAGGTGTCATTGAACAAAAAAATACAAATGTGTGAGATTACTGTTTTGGAGAAGGGATACTATAATAGAATTTCCCTTATTTCTCTCTACCTTCTCTCCCAGAACCCCCTTTCTCAGCAAAATGCCACTTACAGTATGTCCAGTTCTTGGTCATGATTTAAATTTACTTGAATTACCTAGCTGATTTTTCTACTCAAACGCATTCCTTTCTAGCACTGACTAACTAGTGTTTTTTTTTTCTTAAAGCCTCAGTTTGTAAGTTTTTGCCTGTGTTGTTTTTGGAATCAATGGAAACGATTTCAGGAGTCAATACTCAGAATAACTAAGTGAAAAAAGGGAGACAAAGTGAAATCTTAAAAATAAAAAGTGCAATATAAACTGTAATTTATACAATTATGATAGATAAAATAAATGATAGGAGGTCTTGATGGATGGACTACAAAAGACGTGAGTCGCATTGATCAGTCAAGTAAGTATGTAGGTTTAGCAATATAAATTCTGTATCTTAAATTAGTGTTGTTGCAACTCTTTTGGGATGTTTAGTAGTGTGGTAATCAAGTTAATGAACAGACTAGGACGCCATGAATGGAAGATTAATTCCTTTTAGGATTTAGCATTTAATGATTCTGAATATACACTCAGAATTGATTTGCAACCCAGCTTATTAATGGTGCTGTGTGTTACAGGGCTTTAAAATGAAACATTTTTAGGACAGCATTGGTGTAATAGGGTTATCAATACTCCCCTGGTCATTTGTCATTCATCAGATGCTTTTGTCCAAAGCAACTTACAGTATACTTATACACAGGAACGGTCCCTCCAGAGCAACCTGGGGTTAAGTGCCTTTCTCAAGGGCAGTATTGATTATAGGACATTTCTGTAATGCTCCAGTTCATAGAATGCCCTTACCCAGGTCAAAACCCACAGTTTCATCCAGCATCATTTTGGTTAAGACACAGATGTGCTACAGAGACTGCAGCTGTCAGCTCAGTTTGCTCTGTCAGTTCTGGAATCATTTAGCATTTTAAATCTTACCACTGGGGCTTTAACAAAATTTATTTCAGATATGGAGGTTTTCCTGGTTACAAACTTGCATCTTTTAATTTGTTTTAGTTCTACAGTATTTACAAAACACAATCTACAGTTATACTAGACAAAAGTGCAATGTAATACACAAAAGTATTTCACTTTTTTTTTTCTCGTTTTAATCTATAATCATCAGGTTATTTAAGACGGTCCACAACCATTTTAATTATGAATTACTTAGTTTTGCAATTAGTGAGTTTGATTAATTGAATGTTAGCCATATATATATATTACACTGAACAACTTCACTCCTTCAACCCCCACAAGTTCAGCATGAGGATAATCATTCCTATTATTTTTCATTTATGCAGATACATGTAACATGGATTATTAATATCTGTCAACAAGGGCATATGTGTAGTATTATATAATTACTTGCATTATATTGAGTATCATATGTCTTACACAAAAAAAGTGCAGGCACATTAAAAAACACATTTTTGGGACTTTATGCCCAGTCTAACCTCAATGCCTACATTTACAAATCACACATTCCTTGAGTTCACTTCTCATCATATAGCAGTAAGAAACACTCATATAGACAAGAGCATTTACCAACTGCAGACCTCATCATCACACATCAAGCCCAAACCAAACACAAACTGAGGTACGTATAGCTCTATTTTTGCTCTCATCTAAAGGTGCTTATACACATCAGGACAAGCCATTTAAACCTCTGGCAAAAAAAAATAAAAATAAAAATTCAGGCATCTGTACAATAAAACAAAACAACTGTAAAATAACACGACTCTGTACAAGCAAGCCCCTCGTGAACACCTAACTGTACAAAGGCATAGATTTTACATGTTCGGCAAAGGATCTTTAAAGGACAGTTGCTGTCTCCTGTACTATGGACATTTTTACTAGGAATGACTAACTTGTAAACCATAAATAATTGTAAATTATTGCTTGTGTACAGATGAGAAATTCTACTCTACTGTAAGTTAGTTGCTATATTGTCAAATTTTTGAATGAATATGAATATTAACTACTGTCACTGACATCCCTTCATAGCTGAGCGGGGGTCTGAAGTTGAAGACTTACTGTAAATAGGTTGCTCTATTTCTGTTTGTTCTTTTCTGGTTGATCAGAAATGTGATGGGTTGAAGTCTGTGTTCAGATCTCTCTGTCATGCATTTCTTTTTATAATTCAGATTCTGAAATCTTACGGTATGTACAAGTCTTGAAGATGTAAGCATGATAAAGTCAAGCACTGTGGGGGCTTGAAAGACTATTTTCAGAGTCCTTGCACAACTGATCACTACAGTATGTTAGCCTAACCCCATTCTGGGGTTGTGTATGTATGGTCACAGCTTTGAAAGTTCATTTGTTTGTTGATGAGTTCCACAATACCTTTTCCCAAATCAGAGACGCTGTCATGAAATGTATTCTCTCATTCTCATTCTCAGTCATTAATGGCATCAGAGCTGAGTTTATGTGATGAAAGCACAAGCGAGTAAATGAGCTTTTTACATGGGGCATTCAGGGAAATAGTGCTTTCCAGGACGGAGAAGATATTCATTTATAAATATTCACTTTCATGTTTGCAATGATTTTGTTCTTAAAATAAAAAGATTTTATTGGTCATTTACATAAGTGTTAATCAAGTCTTAATATGGACAACAACAAAAAAAGCTGAAAATTAGACACAATCAGTTCAGTTAATTAATAATCTATCAGCTAAGTGCTGGAACCAAAAGAAATGTTTCACACATTATGCAACCAGCTGCAGTTACATTTCAAAGTACACATCAGGCAACACGCACACACTTATAAATAAAATGCGGATTATTTGCTTGCTATAAAATAAAATGAGAACATGCAACAGTAACATAACTTTTTTATTTGGACAATGCATATTACTCTTCTGTGTTGATTAAAATGTTCTGTTCAATTCTTATATCATTTTTAATTATAAGATTAAAATATCGTATTCAAATTATAAGAATGTGATCTTTACAATTTCTTTTAGTCATTCATGGCTTTAAATGAAAGTCATGATTATGCAAGCAAGCATTTCCCTGTTGGTTCACATCTCTTTCTTTTTTGTACATTGGTTACTGTAAATGTTTTATACTCCAATGAAAAACACGAAAAAATAATAAAAGCTTTTATTTTGCATCTCTGAAGTTTGTTTTGTATAACTGCAGTTTGTAGTCATATTTTCTTTCTAACTATCTATCTAGTCTTTTGTTGAAAGTACACAATGCTTTAATATCCCAGCCTCTTTCTGGAGAGAGAGAAAAAAGAGTTTACATTTCTAAGTAAAATACTTGTCAATTGAAAATGATTTCATTTCATAGATAATTGTCAAACTGCATTGTGTGTGTGTGTTTTAATTTATTTATTTCAAGATAATAGTTGGGGTTGTATAACAGGAAAATTATATTATTAAGAATGTTTCCATAAAATTTCATTTTTCTGTTCATAATAATCATTAAGAATAGCAAAAAAGAGTTTACATTTCTAAGTAAAATACTTGTCAATTGAAAATGATTTCATTTCATAGATAATTGTCAAACGGCATTGTGTGTGTGTGTTTTAATTTATTTATTTCAAGATAATAGTTGGGGTTGTATAACAGGAAAATTATATTATTAAGAATGTTTCCATAAAATTTCATTTTTCTGTTCATAATAATCATTAAGAATAGCAGTAGCCTACTTGCCAAGCAGAATAGAGAAATTCAGAAAATTGCATTGGTTTCATTCAAGTCCCCAGACCACTTTTGTTTTTCAGTGATATTGACCAATCACAAAGCTTAACACGGATTTACGTAACACGTGCTTCTAGGGGGCGGCGCTTATTGCGGCCTTTAGAAAAAAAACCTCAAGCCATCTAGATTTTTTCAATGGAAACCGCCCAGGTTTATTCTATGCATTATTAAATAATTTACTTTACAAATTATATATCGAATACTGACATCTATATAGACGGCGTTATTGTTTCCAGAAGCGGTTCAAAAGGATTAAAGGTAAAGCGTTGCTTTTGTTTTATACTCTTCCTCTTCTGCCGACTTGTCGCTGCAGTCATGGCGCCCGTCCGTCGGTTGTAGCACTCGCTCACGGGAAGGTGTTTTAATGGCTCCCCGTATCGCTGACGTCTGTTGACGCGGGCGCTGCGTGCCAGTGACTCGCTTGGAAGAGTTTCTGCAGAGCGCGGCACAAAGTCGCTCTCGGGCTTCATTACACACCGCAGCGGTTTGCTTTATTTAGAGATGCGCTTTTGATCAGGATCTCATGGGGGAATTAGACTTTAAGACACTCGTTAAGTATTTGCAACATCACTAAAAAAAAACTATCCATATCTTGTGATGGAGCTTTTGTGTAGTAGAAACAAGCCCGCTTATAAATACCGGCACAGTCTTATGTATTTTGACAGATAAGTCTTGAAATGAAATCAAAGACAGTTTTTTAATTTAGCCTGTTAGCTGCTGTAGCTTTAGATTGTTTGTTTGTTTTAAATGCGGACTTTTAACAGACAATATTATCCAAAATGTTGAATCAACAGGTCGGGATAGCTCGCAATGTTATTCTGGCTTTATTTAAATAGAATTTAGCCCGTTATTGCTTGTTTTTTGGAGGAACGTGAGTATGATAGGCGATATTTAGCATCCGGTTCTGCATGAAGTGAGCGCTGTTAATAACAAAGCAGCTCCATCTGATTTACTGCTGCAGGAGGACTTGTGTCTTCCATGTTAAGTATTTATTTGTTTTTTTCCCCCATTACATTGTAACTTTATTTTCCATTTATTGTACTAACATGATTTTAGTGGAATTGAATCATAAATGAGGACAACTGCAGAAAGGTTGCAGCAGTAATGTGTAGAAAGCAACCCACAAGGACACTGTAAGTGTGTGTGTGGTGGAGCTGAAGGATTGAGAGGTACTGACTCGGGGTTGGGGTAAAATGGAAACGGTGACTAAATCAAGGCTTTTGACTGTTAGCCTGGTTTGACCACAGAACTACTTCAGCACACAAACACACACACGCCCCGACCATCTCGTAAGCACAATATAAACAGTCTGTGTTCTTCAGTTTTCTCATGTTTGCTGTCAGTCTGCAAAATTGTATATAATTGTACATAGTTTTTCTGCCCGTAGTTCAGATTTCTGTATGGCCTGAAAAAAAATCACTGGTCCCCATCTCTAGGTATTATTATTTTTTTAATTTACTTTTACAATTTACATTAATTTGTATTTTTTTTATTTGAACATAGAATTTTAAATGTGCAGTTTTTAAAAATAATTTACTATATTTTTTAAAATATATATATTTTTTAAATTAAATATTCTAATTTTAAAATATATATATATATATATATATATTTTTTTTTTACCAAACATTCTTCACAGTTATTTGCAAGGCATAAAATTGTATGCACTTAATCAAAAATGTAAGATATTTCAGAAATGTGAGGAATTTAATTTTTCTGGGCCTGGAAAAAAAGTATAAATTGTTATATTGCTTTTGTGTGTGTGTGTGTACTTTTTATTTCTTTTTTATTATGGTCAGCTCTAAAATATAACTGGTCATAAATTGCTTGTTTACTGTAATCTCTGTAAATGTTTTTAAAAAATGTAAGTTTTTACAATTGTGCAAGCTCTGTATATAGGTACTGGTCATGGAAAGCATGACATCTACATTAAGTATTGACCAAAATATGCCTCATTGTTCATTTGCAGCAGCAATGGAGGAGGTCCAGCATAATAACAGTAATGGCTCTGAGTCCCAAACTGTTGCCATCCCCACAACTATAACTGCCTCTCACATATCACAGATAGCACAGGTACTGTTCATGTATGTACTTATCTACACATATTTGCATGATATATATGTGACTGAGCATTTGTAAAAAGCAGCAATAAAAGTGCTTGTTTCATGTTATCATCATCTTGTGAAAGATGTCTCTGGGTGGGAATCCAGTGACTGTGGTTCAGCTGCCCAGCGGTCAGTTCCAGGTTCAAGGTGTGATTCAGTCAGCGCAGTCATCGGTTATCCAGTCTCCACTGGCACAAGCACAGGTAACATGCAGACACTCATACAGCGTGATCTTAAACTGGTCTTCGTTTTTACTTTAGGCTCCCTCCACTTAAACAATATTTCTTACTAGGGTCAAGGATCTGATAGTGATGATTCTCAGGATTCAAGCGACAGTGGAGCATCTAACCAGAAGTCAAGAGAGATCTTGGCTCGGCGTCCATCCTACAGGTAAAAGGTCCAGGGCAAATAATTTATGACTCTGCTGGGCCTTATGAGTGGCACCTCGAAATTACACGGATTCTTTTATTACTTCTAAAGCCAGCATCCTACTAGCCTTCATTTGCCTAGTAGTTGGAGAATCAGAGGGTGCACATGTGAGCCCCCAGTGGTCTTGCATAACTTCTGACCACATTTTTTTTTTACTTTTATTTTTAATTAGTTTAATTTACAAGATTCACAATAAATATAGAACAATTTTAACAGAAAGGGATAAAAGAAATCATACATTTAACATATACATATCAAACATATTCTACAGCGTGTACAGTTGTATACTTACACATCCATATTAACACATACACAAATATAAATAAATACACTTGTATATACATATCCACATACATATGTACCATCCCCCCAGTTGAGAAGAGAAAAAAAGAAGAAAAAACAAGAACAACAAGGCCAGTTAGGTGAGGTTAACTATTGCTATAGCTTTTTTGTCTGTTATATTACTGTTTACTTAGCTGAGGATGTTTTGTTCTCTATATATCAACCACTTTTCCCAGCCCATTGTAAAAGCATTTTTTTTCATCTTTAAAGTATATGTTTCATCTGTTAAAAGTTCTTCCATTAACAGGATTTCCTCAATTATCCCAAACCATTGTTTACAATTCAAAGTAAAATTTTTAAGCCAATTCCTAGTTATAGTCTTTTTACAAGCCACAAGAGGAATCTTACATAAATATTGGTCGCTTTTAGGTACTATGCCTTTAATATTTCCCATAAATAAAAACCAAGAGGTTCTAGGTATTTTGTATCCAAACACTTCAGATATGACTACCTGCACATCATCCCAAAAGGATTGGATTTTCTCACAACTGGTAGTAGTTTGGTGTATTATGCACATATCATACCAATCTGTTTCTGGTATTTCAGTCTTTAATTCTTTATCCCATTTCGATTTTATATATAATGTAGAGGAAGGACTGCAACACATCAACACCTCATATTTATTCTGGGTATTGTACGATTATAGGCATCGATCATCATTTTAGTAAGGGAGTGGATGTCATTTATTCTAATTTTCCTTTTTTTGTTATGGTAATCCCTTAACTGAAAATATCTAAATAAATCCTGATTTCTAAATCCGAAATTATCTTTTAAGTCTTGGAAGCTTCTAATTTCACCCTCTGCAATTACACAGCACAAAGCTGTTATTCCCCTTGCCTTCCACTGTTGAAATATTGGATCTTCCCTGCCTGACTTAAATTCTTCATCATGAGTAATTCACCTAAGTATTCCAATTTCTTTCTCCAATTTGAAATGTTTAACAATAGAATGCCAAACTTTCAATGAAAATGTTACTATTGGGTCCAGTTTGTCTTTATTATATCCTTGAATTTCACACTCCCCTATAAATGACTGAACTTGAAGATCTTGTATATTTGTTTCTATGTCTTTCCATTTAGCTATATAATTAGAAGAGCACCAGTGAAAGATGGAACGTAACTGTGCTGCACAGAAATAGTTTTTAAGATTTGGCAGAGCCATACCACCTTTTTCTTTAGGTAACTGGAGTGTTGAATAGCGCACTTGGGGTCTTTTACCTCCCCATATATACCTAGATATTAATTTATCCCATTCAAAGAATTGCTTTGGTGGGATTTCCACTGGGAGTGATTGAAACAGATACAACAGGCGAGGTAAGATATTCATTTTTATTCCCCTTATCCTATCACTGAAGCTCATAGGGTATGTGGACTACCTCTCAAACAGATTTGTCATCAAAACCAAACTTTTTAATGATAATAAAGAAATTCCCAGTTGACCCTGTCGAAGGCCTTCTCGGCGTCAAGACTGATTAGAGCGACGGGTAGTTTATTTCGATGAGCCTTATCTATTATATGAAGAGTTCTTCTTAGATTATCATATGTTTGTCGGCCTTTAACAAACCCTGTTTGGTCCTCATCTATCAAATCCGGTAAGAACGATTGTATTCTAGAGGCTATAATAGAACTATACATTTTGTAGTCTGTATTAAAGAGTGATATAGGTCTATAATTTTGACAGTATTCCCTGTCTTTTTCCTCTTTGGGAATTACAGAAATTATAGCTTCTTTCAGTGGTTACTTCTACAGTTAGACTTTTATTTTGTAAATCACCAATTGAGGGCATATCTAATGTATTAAGGAACTCTAGTACTTTTGTTCTGTTCATATCAGAGGTCTGTTTGTATAGTTCTTCATAGTAATTCTTACAAATATTTCCAATTTCTTTTGAATCATATTTAATTTGGTTTGTTTTGGGATCATGCAATTTAGGAATTGAATTATTAATCTGTTGTTTTCGCATTCGCCTTGCCAATAATTTAACTGCTCTTGGTCCTGCTTCATAATAGGTTTGTTTCAGAAACCTTACCTTTTTCTCTACTTCTGATTGTAATAAGCCATTAATTTATTTTCTCAATTTCCCAATTTGAGCCATCACCTCTTTATTTGCATTATGTTTGTTTAAGCTCCAGTTGCTTTAATTCTGAAATAAGTTTCTCATAATGAGCTACTCTTTCTTTTCTTTTTTTTTTAAGTACTTGTAATTGCTATTAATTTTCCTCGAATCACTGCCTTAAGTGCATCCCATAAAATAGAGGGGTCCACCTCACCATTATTATTTTCCTGTAAATATCTTTTTATTTCTATTCGAATTAGTTCAACTATTGATTTATTATTTAATATTCCTAGGTTTAATCTCCACAGCATGTTTCTTTCCCCCCCCCCCAGAGAGATCTTCATATAGATAGTGCTATGGTCTGATACGTCAGCTACCCCAATTTGACAATTCTTTACCCGGTGTCTATTTTCTTCCTGTAGGAAAAAATAGTCTATTCTAGAATATACTTTATGTGTGGCTGAATAGTGATTATAATCCTTCTCTAATGGGTGTAGTTCCCTCCAGACATCTATTAGGCCCATCTCTGCACATATATGGTTCATGAATTTTGTTTTATGTTTTTTGTTTCTTTTACAGCTTGTAGTATCTAAATCATGGTTTAGCACTATGTTTAGGTCCCCTCCACATATGCAAACCCCCTCCATTTCCTTAGCCACAATATCAAATAATAATTTATAATATTGTTTATTACTTTCCGGTGGGGCATACACGTTCACAAAAGTAACCATGTTATTATTAATTGTTCCTTTAACAATAACGTATCTCCCTTCCTTATCCTTTATTTCTTTATGACACTCAAAATGAACCTTTTGAAATTAAAATAATAACCCCCCTCTTACGAGGGGTTGGGCATGAGTTATAAAAGATATTTTTAAAGCCAAACTTTTTCAATTTTTCATGTTGTTCATTTGACAAGTGTGTCTCTTGCAAGAAGAAAATATGCTTATTTTCCTACATCTAGCCATTTTAATTTATCAGAGCCAGTCGGTGAGGTGGACTCTCAGCTTCTTCTCACATTGAAGAAATGGATCTGCTCCAAAATATTCCCTCCGTATACGCACAACTCACAAAACACTTTAATGACTAATAAAGTAGGAAAGCAAAGACTGAAGACATTTTTAGTTAAAAGTCGCCATGTAATAGAAATGTTGCTCTTCTTTTCTTCTCTATTGTGACTTCTCGATTGAGAATTGGCTTCTCGAATGAGAAAAAATATAATATGCAGTTTGATTTTGTCCGTCTGGAATTGATTGAAATCACAACATTAGCAAACAACAATGATATATGTAAGTGAGAGGCTGCTGGAGATTATTGCCTAGCCTTTGTTATAAGGGGGAAGTTGTTAATGTTATTGATTGAAGATTATGTGGTGTGCATGAATAAAAAAAAAAGATGTGCACAGATAAATCATTTCATTCATAATAAAGATTATAGCATTCCATAAAACATAAGAATTGTCGATTCTTCAAGAATTGTTAAATTTTCATGGTGACTTTAATTTAAAAGTATTTTTCATTGATGTAGTGCTATCTCCAGCATTGGATTTTTGTTCTAGTTTTGGAAATCTTTGACAAAATCACAAAGAAATGTCATCTATCACCCCTTTTGCATTCATAATAGGTGAGCGTGACAATTTTTTAATGCAGCATACATTTATTTACATTTAATCACATTCTCGAAAGTAGATTTTTGACTCTTCATGTAGAAAACAAGATGAGCACTGATCGACATGGATACTTAATTTACACAGACCGAGAAGCTGCCTCTGATTCCTATGGAATGAGGTGGGCCAGAATCAGCATATTTCACCCATATATATATATATATATATATATGATTATATATCTGGATACTTTTGTTCCCTATTTCATTATGTGTCCTCAATCATACACAAACACAGTGTTACTGAGAGTAGAGTGAAAAGCAAAATTTGCCAAGCTCCAAATTCCAGGCACATCTCTGGCACTACACATAAACTTTGTTCCTTTTTGTTTCAGGAAGATTCTAAATGATCTATCAGCTGAGGAAGTTGCGACTCAGAACGAGGGAGAAGAGGAATGCGCCACCTCTTCAGCCATAACAAGCGTTTCACTTCCTACCCCAATCTACCAGACAAGCACTGGCCAATATTGTAAGCCAAGCCAGCATACTATTTGAGTACTGAATGCATCATGTGGTAACTTCCTATGTATTTTGCAACAAAAATTAAGCTAAGGGTTGCATAAGTTGTTAACGACAAAATTGACTCAAATAGCCATGCAGTTTGTCGTTTACACAAACATGATTTTCTTATTATTTTATGATATGAACTAGAGCACAATTGTAATAAACAATTGCATAAAAAAGATTTACAATTTTATACCGTAAACCATTCGTCACAGTTCTTGTTTGCTCTGTTGCAGTTGCAATTTCATCCAATGGCTCTCTGCAGCTGGCCAGTGCTGGTTCAGAGGGTGTACAAGGCCTGCAGACTCTCACCATGACCAACTCGAATCCAAACCAGCCAACTATACTGCAATACGCTCAGACCGCCGACGGACAACAGATTCTGCTGCCTAGTAACCAGGTGGTGCTCCAAGGTTGGCACATAAAGGCAAAAAGACCTTTTAATTTGGCAATCAGCTCTTATTGTTGCTTTAGTACATGTGGAACACACTCTGGCTGTGATACTGTGTTATAGGTGCAGGGGGAGAAATGCAAGCTTATCAGATCCGCTCTTCTTCCTCCTCGCTGCCTCAGACCGTCGTCATGACATCACCCGTTATCAGCTCTCAGGGAAAAAGCGATGACCCGCAAATGAAGAGAGAGATACGCCTGGCGAAGAACAGGTGGGTGTATTTGAGCACAAGAGAATGAGTTTGTTTAGCGAAATGAAGTTGGTTGGTAATGAATAATATCCTGCGGTTGTTTTCATATGGGTAGTTTTTATTGCATTGTAAGGCTAACTGCATTTTTGTGTAATTCCGAGTGTCTGCGTGCAGGGAGGCAGCCAGAGAGTGTCGCAGAAAGAAAAAGGAGTACGTGAAGTGTTTGGAGAACCGTGTGGCTGTCCTGGAGAATCAGAACAAGACTCTTATCGAAGAGCTCAAGACATTAAAGGACCTGTACTGTGTTAAAACTGGCTAGACATCCATACAATCGTGCTAATGGGACTTTGCTGGCAGACCTACGTGCTTATACAAACACAGATACAGGAACTTTTTTTTGGCAGGGGGGATACATTTAATCCTCATGTCAAGTGCTTGTTTTTATACAACTCATTTTTAACTACAGCCTAAGAATGATTGACCAGAAACAACAGCAACAATTATGCTTTTCAGAATAGATGGAAAGAGGGAAACGCTGTTCCATTAACATATTTTTATTTGCAGTCAGCAGATGTTTATATTTGTGTATGTATCTTGTGCAAGCATTGGCACGTCTACACTGGGAGATCTTGCTTTATTCTTGACCCATTTGGTTTCCAGGGAATATTGAATGTTAATTTTATTGAAACGCTAGCTGAATTTTGCTTTATCCAAAATAGGAGACTGGTATTTTTACACTTTATCTCAGATACGCTTGTATGTATGAAAATTGTGACGCGATTGTGTTTTTCATGAAGTCATGCAGCTGTGTTCTTTGCATTTTTGCCATTTTCCCCTTCTTAGGAAGCTCTGGTATTCTTATCCCCATTCCGTATTTTGTTTTAGTGAGTTTTAGTGAGACGTTTTCACAGAGACTGTGCAGAATTTAAGGTGAGGACTTTCAGCTTTGTTATTATGGGTAACATGAAACAGTGTTACCCATAATAAGTTCATTTAAGCCTTATTCTGGATTGATAGACAAATGTCTTTTCTAGTCAAGGTCTTTGTAATATGTCTGACTGGTCTTTAAGCCATATACACACTTGGGTTGGGACTGTTGTTGGTTTTAGCGGAGTAATAGGCCTGAGGCTTATCACTGTTATAAGCCAAGCTGTTACAAGACAATCGAATCAGGGAGTATATGATGAAACAGACGATGTCACTTGTTTTTGCTAAAGTGAATCTAAATAAATATTTTTCCAGCCTTTGTTTTCTCCCTTTCAGTTTTAGTATGTTTCAGTTTCAAGGAGGCCCTTTGGAAAAACTCCACTCAGATGGTCAGATAGGAGATGCAAGGTTAGCTTGTTGTTCAGTATATTTGGGGGGGAAATAATTTCAAAATTAGCTTTGTTTTTTATTCCATAAATAATTTCAGGCTTAGGAAAAGTGCAAAAATAACACAATCAAAGTCAAATAAATGTATGTGTTCTATTTCAGATTAATCGGCTAGAATTTTATATATATTGTCAAATATTAAAATAAATTATAATAATTAAATTCAATGTTCTAAAACTGTTGGAAAGGAATTTTTAATTTACCTTAAAGATGGGGAATGCAAGATGGTCTGAGTATTTATGTGTCTCTAGCTAATTCCATGGTATTATAACAAGTACAGAAGCATGAAGGCAAATGTATTAAGTTTATGCTACTTTTTCTTCTAACCACTAGATAGAAGTATGCCCTACATTCATCTCCAAAAACCTTGACAGACAGGATACTCCTGCAGCAAGATACAGTCATATAAAATACACAATGCAGTTTTGAGATTGTCTTTTTACATTAAGCAAAAACATGTATTTTATGGTTTAATACAAATGGTCCCTTCATACAAACATTTAAGTCCATAATGAAATGTATTAGGCTTACTGAAAGAAAACATGCTTGAGAAAACCTTTAGAAGGGTTTTTTTTGTGTGTGCAAAATTCATATTCATTATTTTACTGAATAACCAACCATGTGTGGTTTGAGCATAAAGAATAAATTAGCCTGGATGTGGCGTAGCTGAAGGTCAGAGAAGCCAGCTGCCTCGAGGTGCTTCCAAGTAGCACAGGTTGTACCACAGCCTGATGTAGGACAGGGAGGGGTGTCCAAACCTGTTCCTGGAGGGCCACTGTCCTGCTGGCCACTGTCCTTCCAAAATGACCAGCTAACATTAATTGACTAATCATATCAGCAGCACATGTGAAAGTGTGAATAAGTACTAATCAGGTGAAAACACTATCATACTAATTAGATTGTAAGAGCAGACTGATTGCTATAAAAGGAGGGAAGAAGCGCTTCCAATCGTTGTGTTCTTGTTAGCAATGGTTATCTCCAAAGAAACACGTGCAGCCATCTTCGCGTTGCATCAAAATTAGTGGTGAAATCGAGGCTTTCTGAACCGTTTGAGCTTTCATGAAATTGTGCCGAAAAACGGTTCATTACTCGAAGATTTTAACACAGTGCGCATTAGCGACATCTGGTGGTCAGACTTGGTTTCTCCACCAAATCTAACAAAACATCGCTTAGCAGAGGATGGTTAGAAAATGTTTTTAATCTGTACCAACGCGTGTCATGCGTAGTCCGGTCAACGGATTCACATATTGATCAATAATATAAAATATACAAGTGTGTGTGATTTATAATTAATAATTGACGTAAATGGTAGCAAAAATATTTTGGGTGAGCTGTTCGGCAGAGGCGTTATTCCCATTCAAAGTGTTTTTTGAGCCAAGTGGATTTTGAATGCAGCTTCCAAAAGACAAAAATGGCCGATTAATGTTTTACATATAATACAATCACACCGGCGTGTTAACGTTCAGTGTGTCATATCATCAGCTGCTAAATTCAAATCTGCGTTCGCTGGCTGGCGCCGAGCCAGAGACAGACGCGTTTTAACAGCACTGCGCATTATCCAATCACACACGATGCTGTTGAGCTTATGATTGCACTGACCAATCAGAGGTGTTCAGATGAGTCATCGCTAAAATGCCGGTGTTTTCTTCACTAGCTCGCTGACTACAGAAACAACAAAGTGCAAATGTGTGTTCGAAAATGTAAGATATTATTTTCATAGTGTAAACAGCTTCAGTGATTTTAATGAGAGTGCTTGAACTAGACCAGGGGTAGGCAAGTTCGGTCCTAGAGAGCCGCAGTCCTGCAGAGTTCAGCTCCAACCCTAATCAGACACACCTGAACAAGCTAATCAATGTCTTCAGGATTACTAAGGCTATAGGCAGGTGAGGTTTGTTTTCAGGGTTGAAGCTGAACTCTGCAGGACTGCGGCTCTCTAGGACCGAACTTGCCTACCCCTGAACTAGACTGTCAATGAAAATGTTCTTTGATAATGTAAATGTTCTTTGCTCTCTTTCTGTACAATGAAAGTGTAGTAGCCTAACTTTCAATGTTAATTTCACATTAAATATAAACTCAGTCGTATTAAAAGTGTTATGGCATGACATCCATATCTGTTAAGTAAACAGACAGGTTTGTATGCATAGATTGCATTATTAGGTTACTTTGACCCATCGCCCACTATAGATCAACATAATCTATAAAATGAGAATCAAGATATTTCATGATATAGTTAATGCGTTTGGGGATGTTTGGAATAAAAAGAAAAAAATTAATAAAACATACCGGTAAGTGCTCCTGTGGCTGCTATGTGTCACATGACGACAAATCAAATCACTAATCAAAATGGCCTCACATGCAAGGAAATTGCTACAAAGAATATTGCACCTGATAGAATTCTTATCACAGAATGAGGCAGAAAATATATTTCATACTGCAATAAAGGCTATGTCGATTAGCAATGGATTATACATTTACTTTATTATTTTAAAAATATCCAAGATGGCTTGGAGAACACAGATAAACCATATATTGTCGCAGTCGTGGGTTTGTTGTCTTTGTTTAATAGGTTCAATCTTATTCAGCTACAGCAATTTTTTTAAATTGAAATATTCACATTCAAAATTTCACATTAGCCAGGGGATGAAGCCAAGGAAAGAAGGATATAAAATTACACTGAAATGTAAAAAAATGCTTACATTAATACACTTGACAACTTTCTTGTTGATCAGATTGTAAATAGATTTTAGGTATTGTTTAACTTCTGATTTCAAAATTAAAAATAATGGTTTATAATCACCATACTTGCATTTATGCATACTAAACTTTGCCAACAAAAGTAACAAATTAATCAAATAATATTCCTTAGGGAATGACATGTCGTAAGTGATAAACCCAAATATAAACATTTCAAAATAAAGTTGAAAGCTGGGCATGATATGATCTCTAACAAACGAGCAAAAATCTAACCAAAAACTGGTTGAATAAGGACAACTCCAAAACAAATTTAAAAGTTTTTCTGTCAATATGGGGTGCTGTGTGTACATTAATGAGGACTTTTTTTTAAATTATTTTAGCAAATGGCTGCAATATAACAGTGAAAAATTTAAGGGGGTCTGAATACTTTCCGTACCCACTGTATATATACTGTATATATATGCATGTATGTATGCATGTGTGTATATACACAGTATATATATACTTTATATATAGAGTTCTGGCATGAAACTCTAGATGGAGCAGTCCGATAGGTCTAACTCAATCTGACCTAATGACATCATTATCATATGGCACAGCTGATTGGTTCTCTCCTGTATCGGTAGCCAATGAGCTCGCTGCTCAACATTCAAATATATGACTAGTGCTTGCCGTAGCATTTGCAGCTTGCTTCAGAAAACCTCCACCTTCCCCAGCTCCACCTGTATAGATCTGCTACTATGTATGCTATATGGGGGTTATTTCATGCATGTTATATTTGCAGCAGCAATACTTCTTACATGCTCACAGCAGCATGTTGTGGATGTATTGGCAGTAGCAAATCTCGGTACTTGCTCTGCCGCAGCAGCAGCGTAGCAGATCTATTCCGCCAAAACCAAATACATTAACATTGTCATGTACATTACCATGCCAATCCCTACGAGAGTCATGACAGAAATATATTCCTTTTTGAGAGTAACATTTTTTTGGGTATATTCTCTAAGATTTGAGCTTAAGACTTAAGCTTTGCTTGATTTTGAGTACAGCTAAAATGGTTTGGAAGCGATTGTTTGATTTTGCCAGAAAAGTCAGGGATTCTGTGAATTTAGTTTGAAGGTTTGGATTTGTGTTTAAGGTTTTGAGAAAATAAGTGATGGTTTCAAGAAATATGTTTTAACAATTCAGAAAAACTGTAATGCACACTCAGTCCTACATTGGGCATAAATAGAAAAAATAATACTGCTTGTTAAATAAATTCGAAGTAAACATATGATAATCAATTTATCCCGTGTAAAGACGTGTACATGAGTTGTCCACCCCCCCCCCCCCCCCCCCCCCCCAAAACCCCAAAAAAAAAAAAAACAAATCAAAATAAAAAATAAAAAAAATACT